TGCCTTCCATACAGAAACTTCAATGTGATTCATTTGTTACCTGCTGGGCACGACATGTCATTCAGTCAAAAATTACTCGACCTTACAGTAAAAACTCTACAACTCTACCCAAATCCCCTTTTAAAAGATTTTTAGTTTGTAACCGTATTATTGGACTATTTTTATAAAAATTAAAGAAATCGAAATAACCTGAATTTTTGTTATTTCAGCGAGCTCACCGCCGACGACAATCACACGTTAGCCGACAAAACGACTCTTTACAAAACGTGCGAGCCCGTGAAACGTCTGCCCAAATGCCGCTACTTCAAGGAGGCCGCGTGGACCATCTTCTCTTTCCCTGACAGCAACGCCACCCAGCAGATCGTCAACTGTCACTGCCCCAGAAACTCCGTGACGTATTTGCTGAAGAAGCTGCCGTACACGACACCTACCGGCGAGCAAGGGAACCAGTACCAGTTCGCGTGTTCGCCGCAAAGCGTAAGTGTTGTAGTTCGGTCTTACGCCGCTTGGTGGCGCTTTTTGTAGGCTTTTGTAGGTTGCATTTTTAGTTGTCTTGATCCATTACATAGCTTTTGCATTGGCCATTTATGTAATAAGGAGTAAAGCGAAGCAAAAATTGAATTTCTGTACACTTCACAATATGGTAAATTTCTTTCATAACAAATCAAAGTCTGTTCAAGGTTTTCTTTCTAAGCTAGACGAATACCTACTTTGTTAAACTGACACATTGAATTGAAATGGTACACTTCACAATATGGTAAAATTTTCTCACAACAAATCAAAGTCTGTTCAAGGTTTTCTTTCTACGCCAGACGAATACTTTGTAAAACTGACAGACTGAATTGAAATTAAAGTATCGCTTGAAACATTTTAAATGGAAAGTTTGGGAGAAAAATTTATGTTTTTCTTTTTTCATTCAATACAATTTTTTGGTTCAATTTAGTGCATTTGCTGGCAATATTATTAATGAGAACATTATCCCTCCACAGAGATTACGCTGCTCCCGCAAAGAACCGTGCAAGCTGTTCAGCGCTAGGAGGCGCCACGAGCAAATAGACGAGGTGAATGCCAACACCATCTGCCAATGCCCCAGGGACCACATATGCCCCAAGCACCACACCGAGGTCGGGGTCTTAGCTGGGGTCACGTACGCCGCCGAGGACATCCGCACGTACCACGGTTACTGCATGCCAGAACCGCCCCCAGACGTATACCGATTCGTCGGCGATAAAGACTGAGTTCGCTTAGTTTCATCAGGACATTTCAATCAGTGAGAACAAACTTTAGACGAGATGCATTTTTTTAAAATTTAAATTATGAAGTTGCCAGTGATTTTTGAATGTGAAAATTCGTAGCGTAGTTATCTTGTCTAGATTCAAAGGCTTTGATAGCAATATCGATTTATTTTGCTCATTACCTGTTTAGTACAAAAACAAATCAGCACGTTAACGATTGTTAGGTATGTAAAATTAATTTGTTAACACGAGTTCCGAGCGATCAAAGATTGAACTAATTTAGTTAGAGCTCTTGTGGAACGACACTCATGTTTGAATATAAACTCAAGACTACATTCTTCACGATTGTTCTAAATACTAAATACAAAATAAAAAATAAATAAATAGGTACTGAAATTCAACAAATCATAGGCTTTATCTCTATTCAAGTGTGAGTGTCGTTTCGTAATACAATCCTATGTATATTTAAGGCTAGAGACAGATCAGTTTGAGTTTACTGTGACAGCAATGCTTAAGTGACAGTTCCTGTAGTGTTGATTATTGAGTGGTGTCATAGTATACACAGCTTCCTTACAATTACCAACAATTGTCTCTAGCTTTACAAAATCCACGCTGTAAATACCCTAAAAATAACGGTATTGCGTTATTTCTGTTGCACTGTAAATATTATTAGTTAAGCGATCATTCCAAACGTTTTAAATTAAATTATTTTTTCATATTTTAATTATTTACTTGCCATAATTACGTAGTTTGTTGCGTTTGTTCCGAGTCTTCCAATGCAGTCACGGAGACATTTTTTGTTCATTGTTTTGTTTATGTTAACAATTTGTATAATAATATTTGTTAAACTTAGACGTGGTAAGATGTAAACGCAATGTAAACGATTGCTAGGATAGGTTTTTAAATATTTGACATCGTTCTTCCTCTTTTATAGGATGTCATAGGTTATTAAGATATTAAATAAATGTTATTTTATTAAAACTGGACGCAGAATTAATATTTTAATAATTAACATTATGTACAAACGTTTTCAATGGCTATTTAATTAAAATGATAGGTAATTGTAGTTTTTCACCTCATAGGCTTACCTGCAAGGATTATTGAATTTATTGATAGTCACTGTATTGAATTATAACAGAAATGGCCTACCTCAATATATCAAAACTTCACAATTAGTATTGACTTGACAAGCTTAATTTTATTACTTGACTGTCTTAGGTCTCATATGAGAAAAATATTTCATAATAATAGTCATACATCAAATGTTGTTATATTGAGATACGCCACATTGTAGTGGTCTGTAGTAATTCTAAAATATTGGATTCCAAAAGGTTTTATAAACGAAGGGAGTTTTTATGATAATGACAGTGTAACTATGTAAATAGATAAGAAAGCATGTTGATTTTTATTATAATACCCATTATGGGGTATGTCTTCCTTATTTGTTTTATGTAAAGCTATTTTAAGTTAAATTATTAAAAAGAAGAATGAATAAATGTTTCGATATCATACCCGTATTTTATTCATAGTTAAACAATAAACAAGGTACAATACAATTGTAAGTCCCAATGCAGAGACTCTTTTCAAATAGTGATTTGGGTTTTTATAGCTCAAGTTCTATTATAATTTTGTGCTTTAGGTCTGATGGAAGTGTTTTATAGAGATCACCAAATATGACTATTCCCACCCCTCGTTTCCACTGCTGCAACTCCTGTGTAGCCAGGATCTACAGCTTGACCACCAATAAAAATACAACCAGTGAAGGTCAAGTTTGTCCCGGGGAAAGTTAACTGTCACCACAGTTTACTCGTTTACGAGTAAGACCGTTTATCAGACATTTAGTGAGTAGTTGAGCCTAATGATAAATAAGAATAATCTGAATGCACTTGAAAACAGACCCCTTCTACAGGGTGGAAACGATAAGTGATCTCACTCGATTATTTCTAAACTATACAAGATATCAATAAACTAGTTACTGATCCTGAAAGTGCTTCATAAGCTCTATCGAACGGTATTAATAATAGGTTACAGAATAAACTGGATCTATCCGAAAATTCAATGTTTCCAGCTTCCATACATTTGGTAAAGTCACATTATTTTAAAAACTACACATGATATCGTAAAACTGATTATTGATTCTAAAAGTGTTTCACAAGGTCTATCCAGTGGTATCAATAATAAGTTACAGAATAAATCAAATGGATCTATCAAAAAATTCAATGTTTGCTTCTTCCATACATTTTGTACCATCACATTCATAGCTATGACAATATTATAGCAAGTAAAGCCTAAAACCAATGTTTTCCATGAATAATTTAAAATAAGAATACAATTTACGAGTTTATTTTAAGAGTTTATTATTAAATAAAAAAAATACACTTCTAATATTGTGTGTCTGGCATACATTTAAGTAGTATGGAAGCTGGAAACATTGAATTTTCAGTTAGATCCAGTTTATTCTGTAACCTATTATTGGTACCGTTTGAAAGAGCTCTTGAAGCACTTTTAGGATCAGTAACCAGTTTTTCAATATCTTGTATAGTTTAGAAATAATCGAGTGAGATCACTTTTCGTTTCCACCCTGTATATTTTTCTGATTAAACGCCGATTCCAAGTCAGTCAGCTATTTCCGAGACCGACGTTCAGAGGAGTGACAGGCAAGACAAGGCACAAAGGATCTACACCAGTTTTGCTCATGCGTTCATACATTATGCATACATGCATGCATACCTCATGCATGAGGTAAACCTCAATGAAGTAAGTTATATTAATATACTTCATTTCTGGACCTCATAAAACAAGGCAGATCTTGAAACCTGCTAGGGCGGGGCTGAGCTTAATAAGCTCGCGTAAAAATTGGGGCTTGCCTTAGCATTCTAGTATGTGGGAATGTGGGAAATCTTAACTGCGTGTTTAATGTTTGAGGTGGAAATTAATCGTGTTTACTGGAGGGATTTAGCATATTAAACTCACTTTTAGGAAAATAAACTATTTATTACTTGCACACCATGATGCTTACAGAACGGAAGTAGGAGGGAACCATATTTGACANCTTGTTGAAGACTGGAGCTGATGACGGAGTGGCGGAGATGGTGAGGATGGCGGATGGTGGTAATGGAAGGTCACGTTCCAATCACGTCGGGGTCACCAATGTAGGATATGATGTTCATCCACAATAAGGAAGCTAGATGTTAATGCTTCCTTCCGAGCGGGTGTTGTGCTCGGGGACCAAGGTCCGATTTACACCATCTTGGTTTGTCTATATGTACTTGGCAGGATATAAAACTCCGTCACCGCGATGCAGGTTTGTATGAGCGGCGGAGTGTGCCATAGTGCAGTAGTAACAGCGCCATCTGTTGGTCACTAGTTTGTAGTGGCGTATCGTCGGTGTCGCCACATCATCATCATCATTTCAGCCATAGGACGTCCACTGCTGACCATAGGCCTACCCCAATGCTTTCCATGTTGATCGATTGGTAGCGGCCTGCGTCCAGCGCTTCCCTGCTACCTTTATGATGTTGTCGGTTCACATTGTGGGTGGACGTCCTACGCTGCGTTTTCCGGTACGCGGCCTCCATTCCAGAACCTTACTGCCCCATCGGCCGTCAGTTCTGTGTACTATGTCATGCCCATTGCCACTTCAGCTTGCTAATCCGTCGGGCTATGTCAGCGACTTTAGTTCGTTTACGGATCTCCTAATTTCTGATTCGATCTCGTAAAGAAACACCGAGCAAAACCCTCTTCATAGCACGCTGTGCAACTTTGAGCTTCTGTATAAGGCCTATAGTGAGAGGCTTTCGTCTTCAGGCACTGAGGTATTTTGGACGAAAAAATTTTGCATTAAAGGTATTAAAGGTTAGGAATCAATACTTACACGTAAAAATACTTAAACGGATATTCACGAGTGGTACCTTTAAGATGACGACTTCCAATCCAACTCGTCGAAATATATGGGTCGAAGCCATGCGTCGTCAGGCAACGAAGTTAGCCTCGTAACTCACCAGCCACTGCAACATCACCATGTTGCAGTACGCGGCGCTGATGTCGCTGCTGACGCTGGCGGAGGCGGGCGCGGTCGCGTGGCTGGCGTGGCGCGCGCTGGCGTGGCTGCGCTCGGAGCGCGCGCGCGAGCTGCAGGAGCTGCTGGAGGCGCGCGACCACCTCAGCGCCGCGCTGCACATCCTCGGCAAGTGGCTGCCGCTGCCAGAGAAGATCAACGAGCTGATCCTTGTGAGTTCAACCTGCGCCCGAGCCATCTCTGCGCTCTAGGTGTACGTGCGGCGTGCACGTCCAACTTTGCAAGCGAGTGTACGTGGTTAACGTCGTACAAAAGTAATTTTTAGACCAGCGTTTGACCGTAAAATAAAAAAGCGTCGTCGCTAACGTTGCAGGAGGCCGAATCGGACCTCCCTTGCAACGGGTATGCGGCAGCGGGCGCTATCGTGGCGCTGCTGGTGCTGCAGCCCGCGGCGGCGGCGCTGGCGCTGCTGGCGGCACGCGCGCCCGCCCCCGCCCCCGCCCCCCGCGCGCCCCGCGCCCGCCCGGGCCCGCTCGCCAGCACGCCCAGCGCCGGCGCCGACTCGAGGACCGACCACCGCCGCACTCGCCAGAAGCGTAACAGGTTTTTATCCCACTGCAGATGGTTGAATGACAGGCTTTTCCAAAATGCATAAAATTTGGAAAAATATTAGGGAGTGCCTCCGCTGCCGGTCACTGATTCGGCAGTCGGCGCCGGTCGCTCGTTTGGTAACCGGCGCCAGACACTGGTTACACACTGTTACATTAGGTATTTTTCAACAAGTCAATATATTATGTAAGTAAAAGCTGTGGTAAAAGTCTTATTATTGCGATATATAAAGAGCAAGGATGTTTTTTTTTGTTTTCTGCTTAATTAAAAACGTTAATATCATATTAATAGTAATATTTTGTTTCCAGTGAGGCGAGCACAGACAGCGAGAAGGCTCCCTTGAGGACTGAGTATAGGAACGGCAGGCTTGTAGTTGTTTGATGTGCAGTATTAAAAGAGAATTAAGTGAACAAATTGTTGACTAATTGAGGTATAGTGCTCGTTTATTATAAGTTTGTTTAACCGCCTCTGTGGTCTAGTGGTAAGACCACCTGCTTCAGACGCAGACGTCCCGGGTTCCGATTCCCAGTGGGAGCAGATTTTTCTGTTCGGTCTGGTTGGTGGTAGGGCTTGTTCTAAGTCCGCCTGGCTAGCTGCCACCATCTTACCTAAGTCTGTCGCCATAACAACAATGTTAACAGCATTGTTGTTTTCCGGCAGTTAGAGGTAAGATAGCCAGTTCCTCCGTGGTTGAGGATTCCGGGTGAAGCTCGCTTCCACTTTCGGCTTGATCATCATCACTTACCATCAGGTGAGATACAGACCAAGAGCACAGTAGATAAATTAAACAGTACGGAAGCTTCATACAAACGCTCGAAATCAGACTCACGCACACAGACGCACGCTTTACACGGGCTCTAAGCGAACCTCGCAGTCCATCCGTCGCGAGTGTCGCGCGCGTTGTGTTTTTAATAATAATTTTATTGCATGCACTGTCCGCTGTATTTTTTAAAACATGCCACGAGTGTATTGCGTAGTATATGGCTGCTTGAACTCGGCATCTTCAAAACCAGAACTATCATTTTTTAAACTTTGTAATAATTCTGAATTGTAAAAATGATTAAATTTTACTTTTTAAATAAAGTGCTTACATCTGATTTTGTAATAGTCCTTTTTAAATTACGTAATTACGCTTATTAACAATTTATGTGTTCTATTTGATAAGTAATTTGCTCCGCACGCTTTTGTACTAAGTGATGAACTGTATTTAAAATGAGGCAATAGGCATGTGAAAGTAAGTATCCGGTATTTTATTTATGAGAATAGATCTTCTACCGGCCTCTAATAATACTTAATCAATTTATTCGATTATGTAATCGATCATTATAGAACCTAATTAACGTTTTATTTTTTTGTTAACTACTTAGTCAATTAATTTATTCCATTAGGTATTTGATAATTAAAAAACCTAAATAAACGTTTTAATAAATAAGTAAGTACGAACCTTATTATTTTATAAAGATTAAGAGTGCCAACCCTAACACTCAGTTGAAGTGTAGGTATATAACTCGCCGAAAGGGCTAAGTTTCCGTACTGCTTTAGCTCATATATATACTGTGCCAAGAGCTTCCTCGTTGTGGATAAAAAAAAAGACTTTTTTTTATAAAAACAACAACCGAAAACCGAATTGAGAATAAGCCTTTTATTGAAATCGGTAGAATGCTATTTAGGTAATAATAATAGTAGGTACATGTGATTTTCTAGATAAAGTAGGTATAGGAATATGTTACAGTCAAAACTCATAATCTGTCAAAAGTGGTTTTGACCAATGACCAAGGGCGTTAGTCAAAATCACTTTTGAGCGCAAAGATTTTATTTATAAAAAATAGTATACCTACATAAAATAATAGTGCTCGATTATTTAATTGACATGATAATGAGTTTATTAATTTTTAACTGTTTTATGTGTTGTAATTTTAATTTCCTACTTTAAAGTTAACGGTTTAAAAAAACTGTTTTTTTGACTTGACTCGGCTAATTTCCGCGTACCTAGTGTAAATCCGCCAGAAAATTGTATATGGTTGTTTCCTGTTTTTCTAACATGTTACTCATACAGATCGTAATTTTCACAATCGCTCTAGAGTCTAGAGTTGTAGACTATTATTAATAAAATATTTTTATGAAAAAAGAAATTAATTAAAAAAAAACAAAATAATAAGTATGTATTTTCATTCTAAAAACCCGAAAACGATTTCTGTCATGGCGTCGCTACTGTCGATGTGTGACGTCACGATAACGACGCGAGCGCGGCTGCGACGGCCAGTCAGTGCATACTTACTGCATTGTTCGTGTGTGTTATCAGTTATCTGTGGTTTGCTCCCCGTATCGTGCGTGCTCCCGTCTTGGTTGATGCGTTGCGCGCGGTGTCGTGTGTTGTTATTTGTGGATTTATAATGAAACTGCTTGTGCATTGTATATTGGTGATGATAGATTTTGGTAGGCGTTCCCGGGAAGTGCCGGGTCATTTTCTACCAGGTTAGTGGATTTTCGTTATTAAGTATGATTTGATTTGAATTTAGGTAGGTACCCTCACAATTTTCATTGTAAATTGGTTTTGGTTCTCATACTGTGGTAAATTTTGTAAAGATGGTACTAGGTAAGTACCTATTTAAACGATCGACTGTAATTTGAAATTTAGGGTATCTAAAATACTGATTATGGCGCACTGAAATTATATTATCTAAAATACTAAATGAGCCAAAGACGAATAGAAATGGGGGCGAATAGAAATATTGAAAACGGCAACTTGAAAATAAGAATTTGGTACAAGTTAATCAGAACGAGCTTTTGAACGTCAATACCTAAATAACCATTTGAGGTATATTTATGAAATTTGAAGCTGATGTATATCTTGCAAGTCTCAATACATGAGGCAAATTTGAAGTGTTAATGCACAGTAGTTTTTGAATGATGAGGAGTCAAAAGTGGCTACAATTGGTTCGTCTAAATATACGCACGGTGCTGTCCCCTCCCTGGAACTAGGCTTAACATGCTCCCGCATGTCTATAGTGTTTGCTCAATGTTGATTTAGTCGATTTTCTCCTGATAGGAACATATAAGACAAAAATAAAATTTCCAATTTTACAGACCTTCTACTTAGAGCAGATGCCGCAAAAACTATACCTGCAAGATATAGAAAAACTTGACGGTCTCGCCTGTAGCAAATTAAATAAGCTTTATTTGGTTCATAGTAGGTAGTCATGTCACTAGGACGCATAGTTTCCGAGGATTAAGCGAAAAACTGAAAAGTGGTACCTTTAAACCCCCCTCTCCCCGCCGGCTCAAGGGCTAAGGGCGGGGACTTTTGCTATGTTCACCTCCTAACTAGGCTAAATAAAGTTCCGAGGTCAGAAATTGTGTTCCACGGATTTCTCTCTACACCGTCGTTAAGGCATTCATTGACTGGACTATAAGTTGTGATCCTATCGAGTACACGTAGTTACATTAATATAACTCAATGTCGAGTCGAGTACGTTGTTCTATCGAAATGAAACGTGAATACAGATGTAGGACTGCTGCTTTTCAATAGGATGACTTCTAAACGGTTCTACCTTTTTTCGCAGAACTTTTTTAATCATAATTTTACTATGCATAACAACGGATGGCATAATCTTCTTTACGCAGAAATTCGTTAGGCATACACTCATTTGGTATACATTCAAAACTAATAATTTTGTAAGGCAGAATCATCTTTCGAGGCATAATTTTAGTATCCCGAATAATTAAAAAGCAGAACCATCACATCGCAGAAAGTTCTTAGTCAGAATAGTCTTTTGGCATACTATTAAAAGTAAAATGTTTATTCCCCTATCGCATGATTAAGGGTTGTAGGGATGAGGGAGGGTTGGAGGGAGAGAGGGGGGTAGGGGAACTCCCCCTGTGAATGGGGGAGATCAGAAACTTAGTTTCTGAAAAAACTGAAAATGAAATTTTGAGGTTAAGTTGCGTTTTTTGGGTAGTTTTTATTGGAAATCAACTATTTACTCGTAATTATGCGATTCTAGACTTAACGAGATTCTGCCAGATAGAGGAGAGCCCTTCTAAACGTCAACGATATTTTGACTGTTTCAAAATACGTGAATTAGGTCACAGGTTGGTTCGTCTTGGCGGGGGCTTTCCCGCCAATTGAGGACGTAACACTTCATTATCAAGTTCGACAATGTGGGTTTCAGCAAGGTAGTACAAATGAAAACAAAATCAATAGTTCAACATTTATTTATACATTTGAAGTTTAAAGTGTGGAGCCACCAGAGTGAGGGACCGAGCGGAGCCGCGGGGGAGCAGGGGTAGGGGAGGGCGGGGTGGGTGGCTCAATCTACTCGATACAGACTGTGCAAAAATATATAACTGGTGCCGCGACCGCGTCCGACGGCCCGCCTCCAACGCAAATATGAATATCTATATAACAAACATTATGTATATGTATAGCTATAGAATATCTAATATATCCAACAAAATATAGAGGTACATACAGAGCTCTCCTTCGCCCTACGCGTCGGGCGGGCGGGGGAGCGTCCTGCCCTCAGATCATAGAACTGTTGCGGGCTCGCTCACCCGACCGTCAAGCCTTGCTACAACTTGAACACGTGTTTTACCAGACAACGAACCTTCTAGTCCGAGTTCGGACAATACATATTGGTAAGCTGACTCTTCCATGTTGCCGCTTTTGGCCGCAATTTGGAATATTTCATATTTCCGTTCCGTTCAGTGTTCAAGCTTTAGCAAAAGTGTGATGTCACTGGAAAATATCAAGAACCGCAATTTGTCGAGGAAATTTATAAACTTTCGTAGGATTCTAAACGAGAGATAAATTGTAGTAGGTACCTGTACCTCTAGTAGGAAAAACTTTCGAGTTCGTTTCGTTGCGTATTCAAAGTGTCATCGAAAAATTTTGTATGAAAAATTAAACAGCGCCCCCTAGGGCGGCTATAATATAGGGGGCGCTGTTTAATTTTTCATACAAAATTTTTCGATGACACTTTGAATACGCAACGAAACGAACTCGAAAGTTTTTCCTACTAGAGGTACTGTGTGCCTACCATGAGTTTACGTTAGGTGTGCTCGCTAGCGACTGCGTAAAAAAATGACATTTAAATGTATGACATATTGTGCAGCGCCCCTAGCGGCTACTTTCAAGAAATAAAATCTTCATATAATTTTTTGACGTATTCGCTAGCGAGCTCACCTAACGTAAACTCATGGTAGGCACACTGCTTATTAATTTACGCTCTCATTTTCGCACTTGCGGATCTTGTTATCTTCCGGTGACATGTACAGGGTGGCCCAGAAAGAAATGCACTTTTGAAAATTCAAGGAAAAAAGATCTGTGTAATTTTTTAGAACTTTATTTAGGTATAATATAACAATAAAGAAAATTTAATGCAATTTATTTTTAAATTTACCTTTATTAAATTACATCGTCCATTAGATTTCCTTGACGCTTACAACATTCGATCAACATACTTACATCAAAATCTTGAAAAGCGTTCGTTAGAATTATGTACCTCGAAACCTATTTTCCATTTTTTGCTGAATGTTCAGCTTCAGTTGCTTAAACACCACAAAAAGGAGTTTTCTGGAGTGAGATCAGGGCTTCCTGGTGGCCAGGAGATGTCACCCCTGCCTAAAATTATTTATTTGTGGGAACATGTCTCTTACCACCTAAATGCTCTCATTTGAAGTGTGACACGTAGCCCCATCTTGATGAAACCATGTGCTCCTGTCATAGCCTTGCGGATGTTGCTAGCTTATGAGCAGAGTATAGGTACTCTAATAATCCAAAAACCCTGCGGCATTCATCCATCCTGAATCCATTTCGAGGTACCTAACTCTAACGAAAGATTTCCAGAATTTTAATGTAAGTAAGGTATATTGATCGAATGTTGTAAACGTCAAGGGAAAATCACATGTACGATAAAATCTAAAAACACTATTTTAATTACTGCACTAAAAGGCCAAAAATCCTCTCGACTTCAGGACCCTGGACATCATCTAACACTAAAGTGCTCGAAAAGACAGAACAAATGAACGCAAACTCGATGCGATTACCTTCCAGTCCCATCATCAGACCAGCTCGATGCGGATGGTACCATAATATTGTATTGTCATACAAGAATTAGAAGTGCGTGTAATTCAGATTCTCAGATTCCATTACATAGTTAGGTAGGACCTATTAAAAACGGGTTAAAAAGAAAGTAAATTTAAAAATAAATTGCATAAATTTTTTTTTAAATTACAATAGTTTAAGTTCTACAAAATTGTACAGTTATTTAGTTTCCTTGAATTTTCAAACGTGCATTTGTTTCTGGGCCACCCTAATAAAATTAGGTACATTTAGTAGTATAATATTATTATTAATATATAATTTTTCTAAATACTTAAGGCCGCGACATGAATGTGACTACGATTTAGGTTTTTATTGAGTATTACATTGCAACTCATAATCTAGTTAATTTTTTTCAGACAAATTTTAACCGCGTTAAACATATCGCGGCCTTAGTGTCGACACCTATACATAAAATACATTTAATTTTACATACACGCTACGTGATCACACCATGATATGACATCGCAATTTCATAAATTCACATTACATTTCTTTACACTCTCACTTTATAAATAACATTTTACGTAGCAACAGTGAATACTTATTTAATAGTTGAATAGAGCCTAGATAGACGTTCGCGCAAGACGTTAAGCACCCACAAATAATATTCAATAAGTACTTGTATATTTATAGTATTTACAACATTAACCTCAGGATCTCAGCGAATGCTGTGCTCATTTTTGAAGAGTTTGAGCTACCAACGTGATTCCGATGAGAATACACTGGTACCACTGGTACTATTACTTATTATGTGAATACACGTCCGTCCTACCTTAATAAACACATCAAAACATAGAATACAACTGCGAATCAAACAACTGAATTGATGGAAACCGTAGCAGAGTAAAAAAAAATTTCCGAGCAGATTCCGCCACAGCGAGAGCTCTCTCGTAGTGGAGCCTCGTCGCGGCGGAGTCGGCCAGCCAGTAACAAGTACATAGTAACAGTTGGCTCGTGGTCGCTTATCTGTAGGAGGGCTGCTGCTGCTGCTGCTCCGCCACGAAGGGGTTGGAGGGCCGCACCGGCGCCTGCCCCGGCACGCCCAAGCTCTCCACGCCGCTGTAGCTCTGTATCAAACGTTAAACCTTTAAATCCGTCTCACTCAATACAATACTGATCTAGGTAACTGTGTGTTGACAATGTTCCAACACATCCGAGGCTGAGTGAGGCTCACTTGTGTAGCGCCGTAGGAGTCGTGGTGCGCGAGGTCGGCGAGGCGCGTGGAGGAGAGCGCGCGCGGCAGCGGGTTGGAGGGCACGCCGTGCGGCGCCAGCACGCCGGCCTCGGCCACGGCGCGCGCCTCCTCGTCGGCCGCCGCGCCCTCCGCGCCCGCCAGCTGCACGCCGCCGTCGCGGAAGTTCACGAACGCGAACGCCGCCAGCGCCACCGCGCACAGCACCCCGTAGCCGGCGAACGTGCGCGTCGTGCCCCACTTGGCCACGGCGATGCCGCCCAGCACGGCGCCGCAGCCGCGCCCCAGCCCGTGGTGGAGGCCTGCCATCATCGCATGTTACTTAACGTCTATCCTGTTCTCGTTAGTTATCACAAAAGTAAGGAATCATGTAAACACGAGCCATCTCAAAATCTAGGTCTAGGTCGTGATGTTACAGAACAATAGTGTCTGGACAAACCTCAAGAGGATTTAAGACACTACTTATTTAATCAAAGCTATAACGGTTAAAATGTAATAAATAAATACTTATTAACTTACACTGTCTGCTGAACACACGGCGGATCTACTGTATTTCGAGTACAGTCGGCATTCAGTATGAGTTCGTTAACCCTTGGTCACTACTCATGGGTCAGTGAGACCCTGCCAACTTTAAAACCTACGTTTACTGGCAATGGCCCCTAACGACTGGGAGTCCCCCGCCCGTGTATTTTCAGTACAGCGCTCGCTACTTCGTATGGTGGGTGTTTCCAATGGCTCGGTGCATTTTTCGCGCCAAAATGGCAAAGACAGGGTCACGGTGACCCTTGAGTAGCAGGGACAGGCGATAAAAAAATATTTTGTGATATTTTTTTTTACGTTTTTTTTATGCGTAAAATACTATTTGTTTGAGGGTTTGTTTTGCAATGATTGTGTAGCTTTTTGTCGTCGTCTTTTGCTTCATTTTGGTTTGGTTTGTCATAGGTATGGGGGTAGAAATGCGCTCACGGATGAAGAAATTGTCAATGTTTTGTTGCTTGATGATGGTGATTTTAATGAGGTGGATACTTCCACGATACAAGGCCCCTCCACCTTTGCTTCTTTACACAGCATCAGTAAATCGACCAAACTTCCTACGAGGGCTTGATATGAAGTTTTGCGTACCTTATGCTCAGCAGCGAATTTGCAATGAAAAGATTCCCCGAGAATTGCGTCTGATAACTTCAGGGATATACAAACTGCCTATGCCTGAAAGATCTGTTTCAGTTGTCTCTAATGTGGTATCTAAAAGGAAGCTTTGCGGCATTTGTCCCTATAAAAAAGGTCGCAAACCCAACAGTGTTTTTTCTTCGTGTAAAATACCCATTTGCAACACATGCTCAAATTAATGTTTGTCCAAACTGTTTAGTTAACAATTCAAGTTGTTATGTCATTGCATTATAAACCCTTTTTATTACATAATGTGTTTTACTCCATAATCCGCAATAGTTTTGAAGATATACAAAGTTTTATAGCAGGGTCAAAATGACCCTTGAGTAGTGACCGTGTAAAAAATATTTTGAGTAGTAGCCAAGGGTTAAATAGATTCCTGTCCATATAAATTGGATAAGCCAACCTTGTAAAACTCCTTGTGCCGAGGATCTAAGACGCGGCGGGGTCCCGTGGGCGATGTAGGAGCAGCAGGCGGCCCACACCGCCGCGTGCGTCACGCCCTGCACGAACTCGAACGGGAGCACCCACCAGGGGTTTGTCAGCAGCGAGATGTACAAGAAACGCAACACGTTGCCAGCCAGACCCAAGCAAAGTACCTACAAAGACACGTTACATATAAGATACAGATGTTATCATCTATTGCAGGTATGGCAAAATCGACAATTTGACAACACAACTACCGTCTTACCTTGACGTGACCTAGTTGTGTGATGAGTTTAAAGCTGAAAAAGTAAGCGAAGATTTCCGAGATGTGGTTGATCACTGAAGCCACACCAAAAAGAGTAGGAGAGCCGTCGATGTCCTGAAAGTATTTATGTAACTATTAAGGGTCTGCCAAACCAACGCGTGCAGCCTGCGTGCGCGAATGGCCGCGATGGCGATCAATAGAAATCAGTAGGTAGTATCGCAATCGCGCACCTTTACGATATTGTGAAATAATTAAATTTAAACAGAGTTTTGGATTGACGCATTTTGATTTTGTGCATTGCTCGAAAATCTCAAATACGGGGTTAGTCCCAACCACCCCGGTGAATATGTCCCGTCAACGGGGTTACAGGGTGGATGAGAAAAAGTATTTCATCGACCCCGGTAGTCATAGACAATCATCGACTTTGGAAAAGGAACACCCATAAAATACAGATAATAATTTATTATACCGAATCCAAAGCAAATAATATAGGGAGATAAAGAGAGTCGGATTCTTGGGCTATCGTTCTTTCGGAGTGGGTACCTACATACAGTGAAATCGGCAATCAAAATTAACTAACCTGCAAATGCCAGAAGAGGAAAGTAAAAATGAGGCCGATGCCAAAGCCCATGAACCAGGCCACCAGCAGGAACGAGGCGGCCTTCACGTTCTGGAACTGCTTCAGCACTGTCACCCACTCCGGCATCTCTCGCGTCGTTTGCGCGAACACCTGCATCAATTTAATGACAAAGTTTCAAATTTTGAACGTCTAATTATCTTTTGAATCATCGCCCTTATTGTGACTTAATGCCCCCTTGGGAGTTTTGAGAATAATGATCGCTGTGATCAGCAGGACCTTCGCATGCTGCAGCGCGGGCTGCGGGCGCTGCGGCGCGCTGGTGTCGAGCCCGGGCAGCTGCAGCTGCTCGGCCAGCTGCTGCTGCAGCTTCTCCTCGTGCGTGGGCTCCGCCGCCGCCGGCGCCGCCGCCAGCTCCGGCTCAGGGCTCGCGAATTCGTACTTGAATTTTATCTGCAACAGTCATTTATTATAATTTTTATTTTTATTAATTTATGAACGTTTGACAATTATTGTGTTTTGGTGTAGATGAACAAACACACCACCCACCAGAATAAGGAGAATCAGGCAAGATACAGCTTGCGCACACTGGGCGGCACGCGACAGCGAGAGCTCGGCGACTTGACGCCTATTTTGGGTGTTAGAGCAATAAAGCGCACATCCGAAATTATGTATTGTACCTTCTTTAACTCGTATGTATCTAGGTATTCATGGTACGGTCATACCCCCACATTGAAAAACTGAGAGAAAATGAAGTTGATTGCAATCGCTGAATTGATTTGCGGAAAACCTTTGTAGATCAGATCCGCATCAACTACGCAAAGGTTTTCCGCAGATATTAACTGAAACAAAAAGAAGTAGGTAATCTACAAGTTTGTGAGTCTTGTCGTAACCTGTGAAGCGGTGAGTAGCGCCGCACCCATGAGCACGGAGAAAGTAGCGAAGCAAATGGTGTAATTCTTCTCGTAGCGCTGTGGGCCGCCGCAGGGGTGGGCGCTGAAGGCCGTGCTGTGGTCCAGCGCGATGCCCACGAAGAACATGGCCAACCCCCAGCCCAGCGACCCGAACATCCGCTGGTGGCCGTACCTAAAGTAATCCAATGGTTGAATTTCTAGTTTCAACAAAAGTGTAACTTAACGCTTGTGTTAAATATTTACCTATCAGCGTCTTCTCCCAAAAGTGTTATCACAGCGGAATCGGCCAGTGTTATAGCAGGCGCACTGAAAAACTCCCCGATCACCACCAAAAGAAGCAGCAAGAAGAACGTTTTCTGTACATCGGGCGTGCGGTAGATGATGTACGAGTGGAGAGGTGTCACCCAGTCGCTTTCAGTTTCAGGATTGTAATTCAAAGCGTCATCAACGGGCAGTGGGGAACCTTTACGCCCGGCCCCGGAGGGCCCTCGGAAAGTGCGCGTCGCGGCCGGCCACTCTGCGTCATAGTTGGGAGTAGTGATTTGGTACGCAGTGGAATTGACAGGCTGCACGCACCCGACGGCCGTGGGCTGGACCCAGCTCAGGGGTAGAGTGAACACCACCCACGCGCCCAGGGATGCTAGTAAAAGTGTGCGCCCTTTTTGCCAGCGGTCCGCGAGACTGCCCCAAAAGGGCGCTGACAGGAACTCCACGAACGGACGCGTCCCGATAAGGAGACCGCACTGTCCGGCATTCATGCCCATCTGCTTGAAGTAGACACCCATGAGCGGGAAGAGGGAGCCGAAGGCGGAGTAGAAGAAGAAGTAGAAGGTCTTGACGGTGAGCAGCTCGGGGTCCACGGCGCCGGCGCCGCACATCAGCTCCAGCACGTCGCTGCGCCCGCGCACCTTGTGCGTCGCCTCTTTTGGGGCTGGATATCTGTGAGGGATAGAAAACACTATTTAAATCATACGGAGCACGTTGTTAAACTTTAAATCTTAAAAAAAAAATTTAGTTAACTTCGCGAATTTATTACTGTTTTGATACTAAATAAGCACTGTGTCAGAATAGTAATTAATTCGGTTATTAAGTAGTTGTACTATGCAAAAACAGAAAAAGGTTATCTATCTATACTAATATAAAAGGTGTTTGGCGGAAGGTTATAAAAACTTCGTGGGTGTATAGGTAAAGTCATTTTAAGAATACAAGTGCCCATTTGACCCTAAGTGAGCTACTTTCTTTAGTTGATATTTTTTCCGAAATTTGAACTGAAAACTGCATAATTTTTTTTCCTTGCGTGTTTTCAACCGCTTTTTTATTTGATATTAATATCGAATATGTCTTTAGCCAAATAAAATAAATTTCAGATCCAGATAATGATTTGATAGCTAGTTACGAACTGCCAAAGTTTAACAAAAGTACAAACCACAATAAAAAGTTTAACTTAGAATTCGATTAAAAAAACAAAAGGTGATAATGGATTGCCAATGATCTTAAAAACATCTCTAGCTTCTCTTCTTTCCAATGATATATCACATGTTGTAATTAGATATTGAAATTCATCAAAAATTCAAAGTTTATGGAGGAAAATGGAATAATAATACAAAAATTATCCATACAAAGTAGATTTTGAATTTTTTAAAACTTTTTTCTTCATAATGTGGTTATTATTTTTAATTTGATTTTGAATTAAAATTCCCAAAAATAGTTATGAAAAGGAGTAGGTACCTATAGCAGAAAATAATAACGATATTTGAAGAAGCTTTGTAGGGATAAATTTTGTATTATTATTCCATTTTTTCCCTAAAGTTTGATTTTTTTACCAATTTTAACTTATCTAATTACTACATGTGATACATCATTGGAAAGAAGAAAAGCTAGAGATGTTTTTAAAATCATTGGCAAGTTCTAAGTTGAGATGTTTATCGTGGTTTTTACTTTTGATTTTTGTTAGCATGTCATGTCGGAGCCATGTCAGATCGATGGGGATTTTCACATTTCATTCATAATGGTGCTCCGAACATTCGTACCAATTTTCAGCTGTACCTATGCGAATTATTGCAGGGTTCATGTCTAATTTGACCTGACTATCTTGGAATTTTGATAATACTAAGTAGGTATCTACGCGGGTGGGCAACTGGGCGTGGTAGTACGTGATCCAATTTAATTCTGACACAAAATATTTGACCAATACGATAATAATCTTTAAGACAAAACGTCATTATACGTTCTTTAGATTCTTACGAACATACTTACTGTTTTCAAAAATATCATTTCAAATTAGGTTTCATTCGTATACTTAAAACATGAGAAAATGTGAATTGAGATTGTGGGCGGAAGAGAAATCATTAAACGGCACAACTGATTTTTAATTCCGCGCGGACGACAGCGCCATCAGCGCCAGCTATACTTCAAATAACTTACTTCAATGCTTCAACGATCGCTGCATCTATCTTACTCTACCTTACCAAGTGTGGTTTGTATTAGAAGAAAACAAAATGTGTAAATTCAATTGATATCATCGACTACATTCTTATAAAAATTTTATAAGGGTTAATTAGGTAAGTAGGTACCTTTGTTGTTATAATGTTGCGTTGAATAAAAAGGCAGTGCGACCAAAAACTATTTCACATTGCCATGAAGATAGTTTCATACATTAAGTTTTATAAAATTAACTGACTTTATCTTGATCACAATCTCACTATTCTCAATCAAAGGGTCAACATTTCATTGTATGACCATCTTAGATAACAAAATTAATACCTAAGTATGATAAAGGTGTGTGACTTCACTTTTATCTTTTACCTACATTATTTTACACAAATTTACTTTTATTGGAGAAGCTAAAGTGATCTGCCTAGAAAAGGCATTTGATCGATTCACGTGATTCGCCGCGACTAGGTAGGTACTTATTTATCAACAGCCCGGAAGCGACGTCGCCTTCGCCTCTAGAGTCGGGTTATTGGTTTTAACTTCCGAGGTGTGGACGGAGGCAAGAATAAGGCGACGTCGTCGCGGGGGTCGTGTCGCGCACCTGGAGGTGTCCACCTCGCCGAACTCGTCGGGGTTGACGAGCGGGCGCGAGGCCGGCGGCGCCGGCGGGCCTCCCTGCGGCTCCATGGTGCGGCGCGGACTGCCGCGGCCGGGTCGGGCGGCGCCGCCGCGCGTCGATAGCGCCGCGCCTGCGCCCGCCGCCCGCCGCCCGCCGCCTCCATCGACGCGGTCGGACGCTTCGGCGCGATCGCGCTCCACGACTCCACGAGCACGACGTCAATACTCGAGTGTAAATATCAACACGCTACTAAAACGATCATATAACATGGGATTGGAATAGATGATGACGTGCTGCTGAAAAAATATTCTGCCTTGGAAGCGAGGAGAGGAAAAATAAAACGATAATAATTATTATAAACATGTATTTATTTAATATTTTCTTAATTTTGATGATTTTTTTTATCCACAACGAGGAAGCTCTTGGTTTATTGACTACACCTTACTATACTATAACTTAACTTACTTAAGTAGGTACCTACATTTTGAAACTAAATTAAAACGTACCTAAGACTACTTTTTCTTAAATATTGGTCAAAACCCCCCACGAACGCCCACAATTTAATTTATCTCGTTGATTGACTTAATGTAAAACAATAATAATTTTGGCTTTAAGTTATTTTTTTCACTTACCTTTAATATTTGAAAATATTTCAATCTAAGTAGGTAAGTATGTCTATCGTCGTACATAAAACATGGTCAATCGTTTTTTGATTGAAGAAAGAAATAAGTATAACGTGTTGTGCAAATTTCCCGAGAAAAATCCCGAGATTTTTCCGGCAGTGGCTAAGAGTCATGCTTGACAGGCGTCGAGTCGCGGCGCGTGGCGTGGCGCGCGAGGCGCACGCTGGCGGCGTGCATGGAGGAGCGGCGGCGCGCGCGCGGCTGCTGCGACGCGGCGCGCGGCGGCTCCGGCGTCGCCTCCTCCTCCGGCTCCGGCTCCGGCTCCGCCGAGCCCGTGTGCGCCGACGACGGCAGTGACTCGATCAACGGACCCTGAAATGAGGTTCAGTATTAAGAATCTTTCTTTGTAGCTTTTAGAGTTCTAGACGCGCAAACCGCATAATCATAATGCTTGGATGTAGATATGAAGAAAGCATCATCATAAAAGTGCATTTTGTTAAAATACAAACCTGCACTGGTTTCTCGCTCTGCTCAAAGCGGAAGACGAAGCGCAGCTCCTGCCAGAAGCGCGCAAAGTACGGCGCGGCGGGGTCGCGCGGGTGACGCGCCGCCGCCCACGCCAGGTCGCAGCACGACAGCAGCACGCCCAGCACGCAGCCCACGATCAGCACCAGGAACAGCCCGAAGAAGTTCTGGATCCGCAGCTCGGAACTCTCGCGGTCTTCCACCGTCTGATACAAGATAAACATGATTAGATCAGCGCGCGTCCAGTTTTGTAAGCTTAGTGGTAGGTACGTGTTTGAATTCCGATCCTCATGAATGAGCCCCTGGTGTTTGCCCATTGAATCATGCACTGCACATGAATGGAACATTGGCGATGTGTTACATTGCACGCGCCGCCGCCGTGCATCTCCTTCCACCACTTGTGCTTCATCTCGCGCAGCACGCCCGCCTCCTGCAGGTTCAGCAGCGCCAAGTTCATTGAGTTGCGGTACGCCGAGTCTGCAAACCAGGTTCGGGTTAGCTTCGTGGCTACTACTTAACTATATTATTAAAAGTATTCTCATTAAAAACAGGTCTTATATACGAGTACCTAACATACAAGATGTGGAATGTTAACTAGAGTACCTACCTATGTATTGAGTCCCACTTAACATACCGTTACTTATCTAAGTAAGAGGTAGGTAGGTACACACTTACTTTTTTTCATTGCAATTCCGTAACCTTTGCTATCAAGCAAGTCGCCGATCTACAAAACACACAATAAAATAAAATCTATTAGCGTGACTGTTAAACTTAATAACAATTATTATTATAATGATTTATGATTGACAGGCGTTAGAAAAAAAAATCAAGTTTTGGCAATACCTTAGTCGTCTCGCAGTTACGCTCGATTGTGTACTCAATGCTTGTGGACTCCATTAAAAACGCGTAGTTTCCTTCTACGACTCTACAAAATGTTTGCATTATTGTTAATTAGTATTACTTCAATTTTATAATTAATAGTTTTATAACATTATTTCTTGTTAATTACAGATTCGTACTTTTGGATACCTATATCATTCTTTTCTGGCATCTTCTGCGAACGCATTTGCTGGAACATCTTTTGATAAAGCGGGTTTTGAGATTGCTGAAATTTTCAATTGATTCATAAATAAAATAATAATAATATCAAATAAAATACAATTTAACTAGCTGTGCCAGCGACTTCTGCAACATTTTTCCTTACTGCTCCACCCCTATTAGATGTAGGGTGATGTTATATCTATAGCCTAACACAAACACCTTCAACACAATATTTTTTTTTAAATCGGACCAGTAATTATTGACATTAGCGCGTTCAAACAAACAAACTCTTCAACTTTATATTATACGAATGTAAAATAACTGTTTATTCAAAGTTGTTTTTTCAAAGTTCGATTTGCGTAGTAAAAATATGTAAGAAAAACTAACTTCAAAGAAGGTGTAGGTGGAGCCGCCCAATTTGGCGCCGTAGGTGATGCCGTGCTCGTTCTCGGCCAGCTCCTGCACGTTGTGGATGAGCTCGGTGGAGGTGGTCTTGGCCAGCAGCGTGGCCAGGTTCGCCGTGTACGAGCTCGTGATCACGAGCGCGAACAGCCACCACATGCTCGCCACTGCGCGCGTCCCGTACGCACTGCGCAGTTACGAACAAACCAATACACCTGGATATGGATCTTCAGACTTCCTCTGATCCTCTCGTACGATGTACGAATGTATGCATTATAGACGCATCAACAGTGAGTTCATGATATTTTCTTTTATGAACTTACACTGGAGCTATCTCGGACCCCTGCAGCAGCACGGCGCCCAGGTTGAACCAGAGCGCGTTGGCGAGCGTGAACTGGTTCTCGAGAGCGGGCGGGTCCTCCACGCACGGGTAAGGGTTCTGCCACTCCTCGGGGCACAGCCGCCCCACCACGTACAGCACCAACGACGAGCCCAAGTATGCGAATCCCAGGCACAGCCACACCTGACATGGAACTGGGTTAGGTTTCTGCTTAGTGTACTAACCTACCCGCTTAAGTTGATTTTTATACATGTATTTATCTACTAACCTAGTCCTAGGCATGGACTACTCTAGAAAATCTTTGAAAGAAGTTAGATACTTATAAGTACTCTAGGAATAATCACGTTTTTTATTTTATGCTGTGTTTCGTGTTTATACGTACTCCGTTAGAGAAAGGCAAGAGGAACGCAAACAGCTCGGGCTCGGGCGGCAGCGGCGTGTGGAACAGGATGCTGATGCCGAGGTTCATGAAGGGCGTGGTGAAGTCCACCCCGCGCTCGCGCTCCGCCGTGATCGTCAGGTCCGTGATCGCGAAGTCTATGTCCTGCATAATCGGAATCATAATAATAATTATTATCATGCACGGTCCTCCAAAATTTCACGCCTAAACCACTGAACCGATTTTGATGAAAGGCATAGAGATAATTTGAGTCCCCGGAAAGGACATTATCCCGGTTTTTGAAACAGGGACGCGCGCGATAATGTTTTTCTGTGACAGATAAAATTTCACGCGGGCGAAGCCGCGGGTGGAAAGCTACTCGTAGTAATTAATAATTTATCTTTTCTATAACGTAACTAGCTATTCCCGCGACTTCTTACGCGTGAATATAGTTAGTTTCAATAATATTTCCCGGGTGCGATGGTGAGGGACCTCATGGTGCACTCTGGGCAACGTCCGCACTCCGCGTGGTCTGTTCATGCGGGCGGCTAACTTCTCACCTGCGCGGCAGGTCTCGTCAACTCGGCGGGCCTGTCGGGCAACCCGTAACCCAATTGGAGGAGGGGATTGGGGGTTCCTTGAAGCCGCAGAGGCTCGCTCGTGAGCGATCCTCTAGCCTGAAGCGGAGCTGCGGATAAATGTCCGAGCTAGGACAATAACTCGCGGCTCCGTTTCTTTGGGCTCCGGTGGACGCCGTCGGGTTTTAGTGGGTAGGCCCGGGGAGAGTCCCAATGTATGCGCAAAGCATTTGCTGAATTAGCAATAGGTAATGTGTAATTACAGGGTCGTCTCTGAGGCGCCGCATCATGCCAGTCCACTGGCGCGTGATGTTGTTGTATTTGCCATAATCGCCGTCCTCCTGCTCCACGAAAGTATAGTTGAACTGCAGCAGCTTCGCCAGCTGGTCGATCAGCTCGATGCAGAAACCTAATAATGAATTACATAAGATTACTTACATACGATTACATTATATCCACGCCAAGTGTAGCTCTGGCACGGTTTACAGGTGGAATCTCGTTTTCTGTTGTTGTCTCTGTACATGGTTGAATTTTGTAATGCCACCTGGAGGGAAAGTACCTACTCTATCTACACTAGAAAATTTTACTCAAAAGAAAACATTCCTTTATTTTTTAAAAGAGAGAACTGCGTTAATTGTATGATAAATATCCTAAAAACAACTGCTACCTTCGTATCGGTCGTTTCCAGATAGACGCTCCGTTGATTTCTTTTCCATTACGTATGGATCGTTCTGAAATAAAAAAATAAAACGAGTTTAGACATTTTTTGTGGCTTTTCTTAGCTACTAAAGTTGACTGGAAAAAAACATACAATGGCGATGAGCACAGTGAAGGTTCTGTTGGTCATGGAGTCCTGAGGGGGAGGCGCGGTGTGCACGACGGGGCGCTGCCAGACGACGGCGCTGCGCGGCGCCCACAGCGCCACGTGCGTCAGCGCGCCGCCGCGCGCCAGCTCCACCACGCGCAGCCGCACGTCGCGCCGCGCGCCGTCCGCCTCCCACGCCGCGCCGCCCGCCCACTCCTCCGAGCGCACGTAGTTCAGCACCGTGTCCGCGTGGAACGCGCCCGTGCCCGCGGCGCAGTCGCCGGCGCCCGCCGCCGGCAGCTGCAGCCTCTGCCAAGTTTCGGCCACGAGGCGCGACGCGTCGTAGGCCAGCAGCAGCGCCACCGGCGGAGCTTCCGATGCACTCGATGCATCTTCCTCGTCACCGAGACGCCGCGCGTAGGCGGCGCTCCACGCTTCAATCGTCGACGTCACTTCCGTTGAATTGAGATCGTACAGTTGGAACGCTGGAAAGGATACAACGAGACGTTATGATTATCGAGTAGGTAACTAGGTACGTGCTGATTCGTTCAAGTGCGCTAGTTCACTGGTTCAACAAACGTGTGGAGACGCACTGGTGATGTTGGCGCCGCCGT